CCTATTTGTATGCCTTCTATTTTATTCTTCTGTCCGATTTCATTGGTTAGGACTTCTAGTACTGTATTGAAAAGAGTGGAGAAAGTGGACAGCATGGTCGACTTCCAGTTCCCCATTCAGTATGATGTTAGCTAAGACATTTTCATATATGGCTTTTATTGTGTTAAGAATTGTCCCTTCTGGGGCCCCACATGTGGCATGCTAGTTAAGGTGCTGGACACTCCTTCATGATGGACCACGGTTCGAGTCCTGGACCTAGTGGCTTGCTTCCTTACTTTCCTTCTCTCTCTCTCTCTCTCTCTCTCTGTCTCTCTAATAAAATTAAAATTAATTAATGAATAAACAAAATTAAATAACTTTTAAAAAATTGTACCTTCTGTGTCTATTTTGCTGACAGTCTTAATCATGAAGGGTTGTTGTATTTTATCGAATGATTTTTCTGCATTGATTGATATAATCATAAGATTTTTATCTTTCTTCCTTCTAATGTGATATATTACATTTATTGTTTTGCGTATGTTGAACCAACCCTGCATCCCTAGAATAATGCTTACCTGGTTATGGTACATAACCTTTTTACATGCTGTTGGATACAATTTGCTAGTATATTGTTGAGAATTTTTGCATCTGTATTCACTACAGATATTGGCCTGTAGTTTTCTTTTTGTAATGTCGTCCTCTGTTTTTGGAATGAGGGTGATGGAGTCTTCATAGAATGAATTTGGGAGGGTTCCTTCATTTTGGATATTGAGAAATGGTTTGAGTAGAATGGGGTTAGCTCTTCTTTAAAAGTTTTGTACAATTTGACGTTCAAGCTCTAGGAATCAGGGCTTTTCTTTTTTGGGAGAGTATTACTGATTCAATCTCATTGCTTGTTATGGGCCTATTTAAGCTTTCTATGCTTTCTCGACTAAATCTTGGTAGATTATATATGTTCAGATATTTGTCCATCTCATCCAGGTTTTCTTGTTTGTTGGTGTATAGTTTTTCATAGTATTTGCTGCTAGTCTGTTGTGTTTCTGTTATGTGTGTTGTAATATTGCCTGTTCCATTGCTGATTTGATTTATATGGTTCCTCTCTGTGTTCTTAAGTAGTCTAACTAATGATATGTCAATTTCATTTATTTTCTCAGAAAAATTTTTTGTTTTATTTCAAGTATAGTTTGTATATTCTCTTTTTCATTTATCTCTGCTTTAATCTTTTTTATTTCTTTTCTCCTCTTATATTTTGCTTTCATTTTTGATGTTATTTTTCAAGTTCATTGGGTGTATTGTTAGGTTGTCTATTTGTTTAACTTTTCAATTTTTTTCTTGTGAGCACTAATTGCTATACTTCTTTCTTATGACTGCTTTTTCTGTGTCCCATAGGTTATAAAAATGTGTGTGCTCGTTTCACTGTCAATGATTCTTTTGATTTCAGTCTTAATTCCTTCAGTGGTTATGAAATCATTTAAGGGTAGGTTATTTAGTTTCTATGTGTTTGTATATGTTTGAGGGTTTTACCTGTAGTTCATGTCAAGTTTAATTTCATTGTGGTTAGAGAAGTTTCTGGATATAGTTTCTATACCTTTGAATTTGTAAAAGCTTGTTTTGTGACCTATCATTTGTCCATCTTCAAAAATGTTTCATGTGGTGGTGAGGAAAATGTTTATTTTGTGGTGGTTGTGTGAAAAGTTCTATAGACATCTACCAAGTTCATTGGGGTTTTAGTATTATTAGATCCTTTATCTTTTTTTTTTCATCTGGATTTTCTGTTCAAAGGAGAGAGTGGAGTGTTGAGATCTCTCATAATTATTATTTTGCATTTGTCTCTTCCTTTATATCTAGAAGTCTTTCTTCCAGGTATTTGAGTGCTCCATAGATATTTGTAACTGTGACATCTTTTTGTTGAATTAGCCCTTTTACTACTATATAGTGTCATTCTTTGTCTCTTCTTAGACTTTTTGTCTTTAAGTTTACTTTGCTTGATATCAGCATCACAACTCTAGTTTTTTTAATTTCCTTTTGCACAGAATAGTTTTTTTCCAGCCTTTCACTTTCAGTCAAAGTATTTACATATGAGGTATGTTTCTTGTAGGTGGCATATGGAGGACTCTTTTTTTTTTCTTTTTTTGAAGAGGTTTTCGCTATAGGGCGCGTGCGCTCGCCAGACAGACAGAGACATAGAGACAGAAAGTGAGAAATCACCCCCCAGGGGGGATGGTTACGCTGCAGTCCCTTCTCCTCCATTCTCCTCTTGGGATCTTGGACACGCATGCACACGTGCCCGGTGTGAGTTTTAAGCCACTGGGTCCGGGACATGAACCGCGGTCGACTACGTGGGAGTTCAGCGACATAGCCATTACGCTAGCTGCTGGTTCCCGAGGACTCCTGTTTTTTAATTCATTTAGCTGGTCTATTTCTTTTAATTGGAGAATTTAACCCATTAACATTCAGCATTGTTAGTGATCTTTGTTGACTTAGCCTTGCCATTTTGTTAGCCATCTTCTTAGTTATTTGTACTCTCTTATTTCTATTTTTCTTTCTTTAGTTTTCCTAATACAGTACTTCCTTCAGTATTTTTTGAAAAGCTGGTCTGATGTTGGTAAATTATCACTGGTTTTGCTTATTTTGAATGATTTTACTTGTTCTTTTTTTAAAAAACGTATTTGTCATGATTATTATTAGCAAACTGTTGGCCCCTTTACTTGTTCTTATTGATAGATAATCTTGCCAGGTATAGTGTTCTTGGTTGAAATTGTTTTTCTTTCAGCATTTTGATTATATCTTTCCATTCTTTCCTTGCCTGCATTATTTCTGTCAAGAGGTCTAATATTAGCCTAATGCCTTTGTAAGTAACTTGCTGTTTCCCTCTTGTCATTTTATAATCTTATCTTTGTCTTTTATTTTTACCAATCTGGCTGTGATGTGCTGAAAAGAGGATCTTCTTATGTTGATTCTATTTGTAGTTTTGTGTATTTCTTGGATCTGAATTTCTCCTTGTTCATCTAGATTTGGAAAGTTTTCAGATAGTATTTTATGGAAGAGGTTTGTTGTGCCTTTCTTTATCAGCTTCTTTGCCTTCTGGAATACCTATTTTACATGTATTTGGACATTCAGTGTTGTCTAGAATTTTCTGTATGTTATCCTTATTATATTTTTGGTTGTTTTAAAATTATTTTTGTTGGTTTAGTCTATGTCAGACTTTATCTTCAAGGGCAGAAATTCTTCTGCATGATCCAGTCTGCTATTATTGATTTTGAGGAAGATTTTGATTTCTTTTTTTTATTTATTTTTATTTACATTTTTAAAATACATTCAATCACATTATTTAGCTTACAAGGTGATCATTTCAATATGTGAACATTTCTCCCCGGTCAAGTTGATCAAAATATAACAACACTACCTCCCTGCCTCAACAATGCTGTCTTCGTATCCCTCCTCCAAATGTTTTTCCCCAGGCCAGGTTTTGATTTCTTGTATTGTATTCTTGATTTCCTGGAGTTCTATTTGATTTTTTTTTATGGTGTCTATCTCTTTATGAAATCCCTACTTCATGTCTTGGAATGATTTTTCTCATCTCCTGGAATTGAGTTTTCTCTTGCATCTTGTTGTGCTTTGTCACAGTGAATATTCAGAATTTTTCCAAACATTTCTGTGATTTCTTTTGTGCTGCCTCTTGTGGGGAGAGTTTATTGTATTCCCTTGGGGGTTAGATATTTCCTTTTCTTCTTGTTGTGTTTCTGCATTGATTTCTAGTCATCTGATGAAGTATTAACTTCTTCTTTTTTTATTAAAGTATATTATGAAATGATGGAAGGGAAAAGCTCAGCCTTAAATCCCAGGTGTGTTACTGGAAAGAGTCTAATTCTTCTAAGACATAGTTCATTACTTCCAGTACAGAGTAGGTTTTATGTAGGCTGCTTTAGGTAGTTGGATACTCTCCTAAACTTTTGCATCCTAATAACCTAGAGATGAGCTAGCGACATATAACTTAATGGAGAGAGTTCTAAAACTAACCTAGAGAGTGGGAGCACACAGGGGTCAAAGCTGGTGCCAAAATCCAGTCCCATCGGGCAGGCAGGAATGGGAGGGAAACAAATTTTTTTTGTTTTGATCAAAGTAATGAGTCAGTTTGATGAAGAGCATATGCTATATCAAAATAGTTCACATACATAAATTACATAGATTCTAAATTGTTATAGTGTCAATTGAAGCAGTCATAAATCACAAGACATAGGAGCCAACAGGTGGCTTGTTGGTTAAGGTGCTGGTTTCCCACATGGCCACCTCTGCAGTTCAAGTATTTAACTCAGCAGCTTGTAAATCATGCTGGGCACATATGTATGGGTGCCCAAAATCCCATGAGGGGAATGGAAGAGAAGGGATTACAACATGGGGATCCTTCTGGGGTTGGGGAATAGTTTCTCACTTCCTCTCTCTTTATCTTTATCTTTCTCTGTGTCTCTCTGGCAAATATATGCTCCCTGTAGTAAAATACTAAAAAAAAAAAAAAAAAAAAAAAAAAAAAAAAAACCTTTTTTTAAAAAAAAAAAAAAAAAAAGCATTTTTTATTTCAGTTCAATTGTCTATTTTACACATTACTATCATAGGTGTTAATATCATAGGTGTTAAATCTACTTTCACTTATAATCTCTGATTGTTCTTGAATATTTAATAGGATCTCTTGTTAATTAAATTTTGTACTTAAATATTTCTGTAAGGACTTACAAAAATTTGTCTTTCCCAAGTCTTTATTACTAATGATGTTGAATATAAAACAGAATGTTGGAATAAAAATGTAAGTCATTGATAATGACAAAAGAGCCACAAGCAATCATATGCCAATAGAATGATATAGTAATCATTACAAGGAGGTATAGCTCCCATTTTACATGACATTTCAATTTGTTTCTCAGAGTTGGATTATAGTTTCCTGGTATATGGAGAAAAATTTGAAAGAGCAGAGATCAACGGAGAGAGATTACTTAACATTACCCGTCAAAGACTAAATGAACTTGGCATAGTCCAGATGGACCACCAAGATATAATATTAAAAGCAATCACTAATATTTATGAAAAGGTAAGTAGAGGAATGCCTTTATATATTATGTCTTTCTAGTTAACAAAAACTGAGTTAAAGGTTAGGAATATGCTTCTGTCTGCTTCATAGTCTATAGTAAATAGCAATTTTTCATCTTTCCAATTCAAAGATTATTATGACAGAATGGTCTCTGATTACTAACTTAAGAATTCTTGTGGGCCCCTCTCATTTCAATATTTATTAATTGGTTCTATCTGTTTACTATTTCTTGCTCTACTTTGGGAATTCTATGCCCCATCATTTTTTGGGGAAAACTCACAGATACTCTGCCTAACGCCACTTTTTCTAAGAAATAGAAGTCAGAGACTATAAGGAATTAACTTACAAATTTCTATAAAATTATGAGAAAGAGAGAACTATTATATCTACGGAGGTTCAAAAAGAAACAAAGAATGATGTGTACATTATCAAGACTAGATGCTATATTCCAGGCAGCTATCTCTGCATCTAGCAATAGAACTGACATTTATATAACAGCCAAGTCAACCACAAACTCAATAATAAATACTATATAGGGAAAATCTAGCGCTATTTAACAAAGATTTAAAAAAAAAAACCTTGAAATTTTTTTATTATTTCAAGGCTTTGATTATGCTAAAAATCCATCCATCCATTCAACAAATATTTATTAAAGAAATGTAATTACATGAGTAACTCAAACAATATCACAGGCCTGTTTCTTCTAAGATTCATTTCCTACATTTTAATTTTGAAAGGCTTAAAACTACCACTTCTAACAGATTTTTAAAATATTCTAATATGCCCTATCTGTTTTGGATAAATTTATTCTTTCACTTTATCTGTAAGGACACTGCACTGTTTAAAAACAGTAGTCTATGTATTTCTTTTTCATTTTATTTCACAGACCAGTTAGACTTTACAAGAATTGTGTCAATGTGTATATTTGATTACACGTTGTATTTCATTCAATTAGATATTCAACTGAGAATATTAGCTAGAAAATGCTATGAGCATCCATGCACATTGTCTGAATGAAATTAGTGTGTCACTCATAGAGGACTGAATTGTAACAATAGTCACCTAGATCATTAACGCATCAGTATCTTTCTTCATGGAAAATTTACAATGGAGACTACTGATTGTGTCAAGAGAACAGAGAATTGTTCCCTATAAAGGAGAATACCATTTAAAAGTATTTGATGAATGGGAGCAGCAGTTAGTGTAATGGCTATGTCACTGGACTCCCATGTAGTCGACCGCGGTTCATGTCCCGGATCCGGTGGCTTAAAACTCACGCTGGGCGCGTGTGCATGTGTGCCCAAGATCCCGAGAGGAGAATGGAGGAAGAAGGGATTGCGGCATGGACATCCCCTCTGGGAGGTGATTTCTCGCTTTCTGTCTCTATGTCTTTCTCTGTCTGTCTGGTGAGCACACGTGCCCTATAACAAAAACCTCCCCCCCCCCCAAAAAAGGATTTGATGGGAGTAAACTTCTAACCGTATCAACTTCTCTTAACTGACAACCCATTTTTAAAAATGTCTTGTTATCAAAATTCAGTGATTACTAGGACTAGCAGTTAGCATAATGGCTATGTCGCTGGACTCCCATGTAGTCGACCATGGTTCGCGTCCTGGACCCAGTGGCTTAAAACTCACACAGGGCGTGTGTGTGTGTATGCCCAAGATCCCAAGAGGAGAATGGAGGAGAAGGGATTGAGGCATGGCCATCCCCCTTGGGGGATGATTTCTCGCTTTCTGTCTCTCTAGCTCTCTCTTATCTCGTGTAACAAAGACGCCCTATAACAAAAAAAAAAAAAAAAAAAAAAAAAAAAGAAAAAGAAAAGGAGAAAAAAGAAAAAATAAAACCTCTCTCCCCCCCAAAAAAGAAAAAAATTCAGTGATTACTTAGATAATCTCATAAATTAATCTTTAACTATGCTGCCATGTTACATATCACCAGAAGTATGTTTAGGTTTAAAAGAAACTCTTTTAGACGGATGAAAAAATAAAGAGTTGTAATGCATAAACTGGTTCTTCTGACAAATTTCTTGAGATATGCAGAAGCCTGAAGTTTTAAAAAAACATACATCTTCTAAATGTTTTATGACCATTTTTTTTTGTCTGTGATTTATCTGAAATAGGATACTTTGGCTTCATAGCCAAAGCTATTAATCTTATTTTCTTGAATTTAAAATGCTACCATTGGTAAGATGTATCATTATTTAATTTAACATTAAGAAAGAAAAGATGCTACCAACTAAACTGCCCTGGTGCTTTTTTGCCAGATGGGTAAGGAATCGAATCCTCATTTCAGACATTTTTAAAATATAAAATATCCAACTTTCTAATGAATAAAATACGGTATCATGAAATTCCATATATTCCCTAAGACATGGTCTGTTACAGAATTTCGAAAGATCAGATTGAAAAGCTACACATATCCCTAGCTATCACAGATAAATTTTCAATATAGATGGTTAAACAATGACTTGTGGTAAGTCTATTTCTGACTCAGATTCTGAAAATCAGCCAAACATTATATCTTATCTTAACCGGACATCTGGGGTTCCCAGATTGAAACAGTCATAATCCCATTAGGAGAAAAATTCTCAAAAGAATGTCAGCTGTAATAATGAAACAGAATATGTGATCATAATAAAAGCTCTGAATAATACATGATTTATTCGAGAATGGACTTATTTTTGTGCTTCCATGAAAGAGTGAAATTTAAAAAATAAGCGGTATATATACATTTTGTATGTGCAATAGAGATACCAGAGAGAGAAGAGAGAAAACCCTCAACAGAGTCTTGTCATACCATGATCGATCTCTTTTCTCCAGCCTTCCAGTTCATTAGGATCTTGAGTGCCTGTGCATGTCCCTGATCTGTTTTCAAGTCAACCTGAGGATTTAAACCTGCTGTTGACCATTTGGTTCCCAGAACTGCAGTCCAGTACACTGCAAACTACACCATATGTGGACTTCTTGGCACATATTTAATAGAAAAATCCATCAAAATGTCTTTACTGTCAAAAGAGAAGTACATGGAACACATACATGCACATATTAAATCTCTTATAAAATGAAAAAGTATAAGCATAAATAAGGAAAAAATATAGAGATAAGTAATCAGAAGACTGTATTACAATGTTATAGAACTCAAATATGGTTTACGTGTGGTTAGAGGGGTGGAGATCAGGTTTCAAGATGGCATTTTGAGTTCTATCTCCATATGAAACGATGATAAAAATCTTGACAGAGTAAATAAGTTTTTTTATGAGAAGGAAAATTTCATTTGTTGATAGAGCAGATCAGAAAGTTTAAATTGGAAGTTTCAAGGTAATATGAAAGGACTACAAAAAAGTTCGTGGAAAATGAAAGTACAAGTTTATTTTGGTGCAAAGTTTTTTGAAATCTATGCATAAATTTTTTCATACTATGCATTTTCTGTGAACTTTTGAAGAACTCTTATATTATTAATACCATTTGTTTAATACAATTTTGCTTTATGTAGCAAGGTTTTTCAGCAACTTTGAAACGTAATAAAGGAACATTGGGATAGATGCCATCATGCCCATTTTATAGATGAATAAACTGAAGATGATACAGTATAATAGTCTTGTTCCATATTTAGTTCTTGTTTTATATTTAGTTGCTAAATAAATGATGGAGCTTGGTCTAGAATCCAGTTCTTCTGGCTTAGTAATTTTATGGTCCAATTGAAGGAGGAAGCAAAGAAAGAATGATGAGGGATGAAGGAGAGAAAAGATTAGAGAAATCTAAAGACTGTCAGGAGACAAGAAACCACTAGAAGTTAAGAAAAAAGTAAATATTGAGGAGAATATCATCAGAAGGGCCAAATGTAAAAGAAGGAAAAAATTTATATCATAATTTTTTGGACAGTATATTTTGAAGCAAAATATTTTCCTGCATTAAAATAAAGTATATGGGGCCAGTTGGTGCATGGTAGTTAAGCCACTGAATTCCCAGGTTGCTGACTTTTTGGTTCAAGTCTCAGATTTTGCAGCTCGAAAATCATGCTGGGCAGAGTGCATGCATGCCTAGAATCCTTAGAGGAGAATGGAGGAGAAGAGATTGTGGCATGGCCATGCCCCCTGGGGGTAACTTCTCACTTTCCCTTTTTATGTTTCTCTCTGGTGAGTTCACATGCCATATCGTAAAAACCTTTAAAAAAATGTATGACAGGAAGAAATAGGTTAATTAACCATAAAAATCTTATGTTTATTACTTCTGCAAAGCCCTTCTTATAATTTGCTTTATGGACCATTATTATTGTCACATTTTGCATATGTAAAGACAGCTGAAGAAGAAGTAGGAATTGTTTATTTTTTATTCTTACCCATATTCATTTTTTTCTTGGTTAAGAAAGTAGTATTGGGGTACCAGCAGTTAGTGTAATTGCTATGTTGTTGGACTCCCATGTAGTCAACCTGGACCTGGCTGCTTGAAATTTACACTGGATGCGTGTGCGTGCGTGCCCAAGATCCCGAGAGGAGAATGGAGGAGAAGGGATTGCGGTGTGACCATCCCCTCTGCGGGATGATTCCTCGCTTTCTATCTCTCTGCCTCTCTCTGTCTTTCTGGTGAGCGCACACGCACTATAGCAAAAACCTCTCCAAAAAAAAAAAGTAGTATTGGTAGGACCAGCAGATGACATAATGGTTACATTACTGGACTCCCACATAGTCAACCATGGTTAGAGTCCTGGATCTGGTGGCTTAAAACTCATGCCAGGTGCATGTGCATATGTGCCCAAAATCCTGAGAGGAGAATGCAGAAGGGATTGAGGCATGGCCATGATTTCCTGCTTTCTGTCTCTCTGTCTCTCTTTGTCTCTCTGGCGAGCACATGTGCCCTATAGCAAAAATCTCTCTCATAAAGAAAAAAAGTAGTATCATGTATTACTAAAAGCCTTAGTAGGAGTTCTATATCTCATACAAAGTTCTCTTACTTTGGAAAAATAAAAATGCATTTATTGACAGATACTAATGTATAATC